GCCAGGAATTCTGGGAGTTGAAGTCCACTCATCTTAAAGTGGCCAAGTTTGGACAACACTGATCTATGGAAACACTTTTGTTTCTGTAGAATGTTTCAACAAATTGTGGGTGGAATAGTGTAGTAGGCTTATCAGACTTAGATAAGGAATTGGCACATAAACATATTTGAACTCTTGTATGCACAAGATGTCATGGTAATGGCATTAACCTAGGTTGGTCTGAGAAGGGCATTACAGTCCCTTGTGGAGTTCTCCTCAGAGGAAGCTCTTGAGATCAATTATGATAAGACCAACGTTATAGTTTTTGCAAAGTGTCCTAAATCCATAGATGGGTACTAAACAGGTATGACCTGCATCAGGTCAAGCTATTTAAGTACCTGGGAGTAATATTTCAAGCCACAGGAAGCCAGAATGTACATTTAGAGCGCAGAGTGCAGAGAGATCAACTTTGGCTATTCAGCCCTTTATAGATTTTGGGGAACATTATATATTCCAGCTGCATTTAAATTATTTATTGTCAGAGTCCAAATACAACTTCTACAGGGTGCACAGATAGGTTCTTATAAAAACATCTTATTGATGGAGTCCCTAGAGTCTAATTTTTGCAAAATATCTTCCAGGTACCAAGTTATATATCCAATGTTATTTTCTAGCTGGAAGCTGGCATACTCAAAGTTGATACCATGATGTGGCCTAATACCATGAACTATGGGTTAAAAACACTATTCTACTCTAGTGGTCTGGCTACGTAGACAGAGCAAATTATACCAGCATCATTTGATCCCCTCATGAACTAGAGGACAGCATGTTAAACCAGATGTCAGGATGTGTCCTATGTTGCACGGGAACGTTTCACCTTCCGTTTTTGCTTGTTGTCAGTTACCTCATTGTTCACCCCTAATGCCAAATCATGCATGGAGAAATTAAAAAGCACCAGCAGTTGAAGGCCCTCCTGTTTATATCCATCAATTCCTCAAATGCTTAACTGAATTCTAAAAGTGAATGTATAGTGAGATAGGATTCCTCTTTACAAAGCTATGTAGATTTCTTTTTATTAGACTTTTGTATGCTTGAAAATTTTATTGCGTTTCTCACCAATTTATATGAAACATACACTAAAATTATCAGATTACAATTTTCTGTATCTCTCCTTGCTTTGGATCTCATTGAATGTTTGGCATTAATTGGCTGGTTTCCAGACCGCTGCAACAGAAGCTGATTTTAGAGATATCGTAAGCATTTAGGTTAAAGGGTCAACAGTTTTGTGCTGTTTAAGAACTCTTGAATGGGTCATATGACCTACTGATTTTTTTGTTTTCATTTTGGCAATGGTCATGCTTCTAACATGAGATTTGACCGAGGCTAAGGGACCAGGACTTAGTAGCACTGCAGAAACACTCCCCCGGTTCTGCCCCTTGAAACTCAGATCTCAGATGGAAAGATCAAGAGGTGGGGAGATGTAGTAAGCTGTGTGCTTAGGAGCCTGAACAGAATGGTCTACTCAGGAGCATGCTGTCTCTTCCAAGAGAGCAGACCTGATTGGTGGCTGGGTGCTTCCAGCATTTAAGCCTGTACCTGAAAACAGTGTGATGATTAATAGAACACATTTTGTGTTCCTGGAAACCTTGATCTCATACCTTCTTACCTTTGAGCATTGGCTACTAGTAAGATACTTTGTTTCTCTTAAATTTGGATGAGACTGGAATCACAGCTCTGATGTCAGCTGTGAATGCTTCTGCTTGTTCGAGGCCTTGGACTGTTAGTGTTAGTGACCTTGCCGCACAGGCAGAATGCAACAAAGTTTAAATTTTAATATATTGTTACCAAGAGTTCTCTTTCTGGAAAGATCAGTTCAGCACAGAATCCTTTTACAAGAATGTCAATTCTTTTAGTTTGGCCCTCAATATAACTCATGCCAACCTGCTTCTTGTCCATTTTATCAGAAGAGTTACACATGTTGGCTGTATCTAGACAGAGTTAGGAATTCAGCAATCTCTGCAAAAATGTGCATTCTACCACTTTAAGATGTGTGGACTTCAACTCCCAGAATTCCCTAGCCAGCATGGAATTCTGGGAGTTGAAGTCCATGCATCTTAGAGTTGCTGAGGTTGAGAAACACTGCATTATACAGTGGAAAAGATACTTACTGACATACCTCATATTAAAAAAAGAATGCAGGCATTATGATTTTCCTTACCAAATGTCAGTTTGACTCTCTGTTCTCTCGTCACACAATGAGCAGCTGTCAGTACCCAGGTGGGATGAATGAGAACACCACCACACTTAAATTCACCTGCACTATTGCTCACCATAACCTGCAATGGAAAGGAGGAAGAGACTGTTGAATCTGTTCACTTGCCTATGCCATATACTGCTCTGCTGGTGAAAATAGAATCTGATTTTATCAAATTGTTAGGTCAAAGGGCAACAGCCCTTAGATGTTTTGCTGGTCAGGATATTCTGAATGGAAAATATTAGGAAGCATACTACAGGAACTGTATAAATTTAAATTTCATGTGATGCTGTACTTATCTTCCCAACTAGTATTGAAATTGCTAATTTTGTGTTCAGCATACTGTTAAAATATATAATGTTATGGTAGCTCCAAATGGAATTATTAATTTGGGGCAGCTCAGGCTGAAATCTTGTCATCTGCTCTGAAAATTCCTTACTAACTTGAAGTAGTTCCAAAATGGGGTTGCAGGTGAGGATTCAATGTATTGTCAGCCATAATTTTTAATTATAATTACTTCTGCATTGCCCATTTATGTCCTTTCTTTATGCTGGGATTGTATCTCCCAGAATACCCAGATGAGAGTTCTGAGAGTTCTATTCCCAGACATCTTTGAGGCATTAGCTTGAGGGAATATGGTATGATTGGATGGCTGCTTATGTTCCTCAACATTAGGTTAGGAATTTAACAATGCAACTTGGAAAAATCAGATCTCCTTCACTGGTTGTAGTAACTAGTGTCCCTTATAAAATGTATCAACTCCAAATCCCTTTTTTGTAGACTTTGGCCTTCAGCAATCCCTCTGACTATGGTTGGTGAAAGGTTACAGCATAGTTTCCTACCTTTTTGAAGTGGAAAACTATATTGTGAGTCCTAAAATAGGCATATCACAGTTAAAAAAACAAAACTCAGCCCTACTCATGTGATGTAGGTAATCCCCTTCCTCTTTATAGCCCCCTTCCCATTCTTAAGTATGTTTCCTAGATACCTAAAAGTTGTCCAGTCTGGTATATTCAACAGCCTTCTCTGCTTTGGCATGATGGCAGTTATCAAGAAAATATAACAAACAATATTTGATATTGTAAAGATTGAAATAAAAAGGACTTACAAGCCAACACATGGGATAAAACGGATGCTCATTTGATAGAAAGATCAAAGCTACTATAAGCTGAAGATTTCATCACTACATACTTGCCAAGGGCTGTCTCCTTTTTTTCCAGGACTACCCCCGATTATTTTTGCAATCTTTGCTTTGGATTCTATAACTCTCCCACAGGAATACTCCACTGTGAAAAAAGGTAAGAAAAGAAAGTTTGAAATTCCACTATGATCCCTTGCTAATCAATCCCAATATTCAACCAAAATTTTACAACTAGCTGTATTTTGCTTCTTTCTAAAGGTTCTATAAATCCTGCAAGCTGCCTTCCCAAATTCTCATTGACTCAAATCATAGGAAAATTTCCCCCAATTATTTTGGCTTTTATAAGGAAAGTTAAATATTTTTTATACTTATATGGCTGTGATGTTATGTTTCATTCATTTCTGCTATAAATAGTAACACCTTAATATTTTAATGAGAAGACTACCCAAGCACTTTTTATAGCACTTTTGTGGAATACGTGTAAAAACACACATACACAAACTTTCTCTACTTGTGTGTAGTACCAACGACATTCAGTGGCAAATATATGTATTAAAATCAAAGACACATTTTAAAGAAAGTGAGTAGTATATGGACATTTTGTTCAAAATGAAGTGGCAGAATTCCAACTGTACTACTATGAAGTGCAGATCAGGCTAAATATATGAATCTGATCCCTTGAATAATTTACTTGTTATCAAGCTCTTAACAACAGAAAATAAGATGCTCAGAAAGTCTTTACTCAGATTTGTTGAAAGGTGTTAGGTAGAGCAATCTGGACAATTGGAGTCTTTTACTTCAGAACTCTCTGTTTATCTCTAAGTTTGCAAGGGTACAGACTTCCTAATTCTCTTGCTTAGCCACAGGGAAGTGTCTAATTGTTTTTCCAGTGATGGAGTTATATATATGATGTTCTGAGTTAGTAATGTTTGGCAAACCATTGTCCAGTTTCTCAGGTTCTGAGCAGCTCATATCAATACCTTTTTTCCAACAAAATGCCAGGTTATTACAGGTGGAAAGCTTTATTTTATTTTCAATGTCAGGTTCAAAAATATTTCCCTGACCCAAGTATGAAGTGACATGTTACAGAATTCTGCCACCTTATTTTATGTAATTCATGAATAACTGTCACACTGAACGTTCTTTGAATGTCTTCTTTCAGGTTTCCCTAACTTGGGCTGTCCACTGTGTTGGCTCTGAGAATTCTAGTAATCCCAGCACATTTAGGGGGCACTAGGTTGGAAAAGATTGCCTGATTCAGACTGAACAGGCTATTTTATCCATGTTTACTTGGAATTAAATCCTCCTGTTCTTAAAGGGACATACTCCATAGTAAGTATATTTAGGATTGCATCTTAACCATTACTGAAATCAGCGGAATTTCAAAGGTATTTGAATCATCTCTTTCTTTGCCAACAGAACATGCTTTCTGCTGGTAATTTTCATGCTGCAGAATGGTGCCAAGTCACCCATTTCTAATGCAATGTATCCCCATCCCAATAAAAATTTATGTCCTACTCACAGAGTTTTCAAAGCCCTGATGTTTACATATGCAGTACCAGGGACTGATCTTCTTTCTTCCATACACTTCCCACCCCTGCAGTTTAGTGACCAGCTGTCACAGCCACAACCATTTGGAAGGCCCCTGAATGCATGGTTGCTCCCCTGCCAGGAGCATAACTCAGGCCTTGAGGCTTCTTAATGTAAGTATTCTGTCTTGCTGATGATCCATTTGTATTTCTTACCAGCCCACGTAACAGGCTCTCACAAGATACCATTTTTAGTGCTTTCTAAGTAGAAAAGTACGACAAAACCATTTTAAATAAAATATAAAATGGATCATGGAAGAAAACACCAGAAAGTTATTTTCTTTTTACAGATAAGGAGTATAGGGCATTTTGTTAATTCACAATCCATGGCAGCTTAGTTGGCAGGACATTAAGCCACTAGACTGTTTGGAGGTAACAAAACTGAGCATGGATGTTGCTCTTCACAAGTTTTCATCACACATTGTGACATGGAGTCAGAGTTAGGGTTTTCTGCACTTTTTTCAGAACAATTCCAACTTACTTTTTAACATGCATTGAAAAGTCTTGGGGAAACAACCAGCTGGTCTTCTGGAAAGAACCTTATTGTGTGATTCTCAGCCTAAATACAGTACCTAGTTCTTTGGATGAGCCTGATTCACAGAAACAGTATATAATGCTTGTCCCTCAGTAAAATGAACAGCAGTATTTCAATAGTGTACTGAACAATATTCTCATGGCTATTCTGTTCCAAGCAAGAAAAGAATGGTAATTTTTAAAAAATCACATTGCAAAATGTAACACACTTTAAAGAACATTGACATAAATGGATGTTTGCCTGGTCATCTCTTTACCTGCAGGTGCACAAGAAGTGTGGTTATCCATCAGGCGGTAGTCCAAAGCACAGCTACAGTAACGGTGCTGCTTATTGTCCTTTTCATCCTCATGGCAGAAATGTTCACAGCCGCCATTGGCAACGGAGCAGTTAGTGTAGATGACCTCTGAGCAGCAAAAAATATAGTGGAATGAGATAATCTTATTAAGGAAGGATTGATTATTATGGATCAATTAATATCATGTATCGTTTCCCTATAAAGCTATGTACAAAGTGAACAGTTTGAGGAATGATCATTGTGCATTATGCTTCTTTGCACTATTTGTTGCTCAAATATCTGCCTGCAATGGACTGTTTAAATCTGTAGTGCTTTTCACTCCAAGCTAAAACAACTTAGTAGGACAGTCAGGCCGAGAGGAATACATCTGAATAAGTCATAGTTGTTATGTCATAGTCCTGAGCAACTGTGATGCTGTGCCTGGCCCCGGCTTTTCTGGGGACCTCGGTTTGCATTGTCCAAAGGAAGTGAGGCAGCGGAACAAGATAGTTCTCAGAGCAGGAAGCTTTAGTCAAGTCTCATGGTGAAGGGGAAACTCTGCTCAGCTCCTAGGAATGGGCCTTCTGGTAGAGGGAGCAAGTTCTCTCTTTCTCATTTGTCTGTAAAGTCACTTGGACAACTGGCAAATAGAGGAGGAGGTGCCTTTTTCATAACAAATGTTTTCATTTAGAAGATTCAGTAATGATTGGTTGTTTTTCACTATTACTTTTCCAAGCATCACATATCCTTTATAAATTTTGTAGTCTGGAAAGCACTGAGGCATGGAACTAGATCACTTCAAAGGGGAGGAAGGTTTTGGGGTCTTGTTCTCCAGAATGGGAGATCCCTATAAGGAAAGTACTGTAGGGATATACAGTAATGAAGACTCTTATGCACACTGGGTAATAGACCTAAGAAGGCCCTACAAATATTAGGCAGCCTTCCTGAATGACTGGATCCATCTCTTGTTACTTCAAAGCTACTGTTAGTTGAAGCCAATAAAAGGTTGTGGCCATGATTAATGCAATAATCTCTGGCCATGTGTGGTCAGTGTCTTTGCTTGGTGGCATAGGCACAAATGTTGTACTAAAATATATATGATTGATAGCCTAAATCCATATTTAGACAATACCTTTGCTTGGTTAACTAATGATTACAAAATAGTATGCATCCATTCAAATTTCCAAGAACTCTTTATCCAGTAGGATGCTTATAAATCCAAAAAGGAAAGAGGAAAGAGGGAAGGGAGGGAGAGAGAGAGAGAGAGAGAGAGAGAGAGAGAAAAGGGGGAAAGAAAAGAAAATTGCAGTCAATATTTAAGGCATTTCAGCACTATCTTATCGACAATGCATGAAAAACACAGAACTGATGCTAGATTGATCAAAAGCTTTCTGGGAAGAAGAAACAAGCAAATAATTGTTGTTCCCTCATATAAGAATGTATAAAATCCAGCATTTAAAATCAAAACTGTTTCCATTTGTAAGGGAAAGTCCTATAGGTCCTATAGAATGAATAGGCTACATCTGTCACATACATCTGAAATATATACACATACATATGCACACATATGAAAATGACTAGCTATCCTCTACATATCAATAGTATACTTATAGTATATTACCATCCCATACATTTACTAATAGCAAATTAATCTTGCTGCATGGGGAGTTGGTAGCAAGGCCTGCATTTGGAAATGCCAACAGTATGCACATTTGGTAGCTGTAAGTAATCAGTCAGAGTTGTTTGAGGCAAGATAGGGGGACCCATGGTATAGTATTAGTGATAGTAAACCTGAGTATCAAAAATAGCATTACCATATTGGCAGAGTTGTCCCTCCCAGCCTTTGTTACAAATGCAGTCAAATCGCCCAATACCGTCCTGACAGAGTCCATTGGAACATGGGTTGGGATCACACATATCTCCATCTAAAAAAAAATTGCATCAGAAAACCCAGATCATACGGATCTTCACAGGATTATCCGACATTTATTTGTTGGATTTCTAGCTTGTTTGCTAGATTTCTATTCCATTTTTATTCCAAGAGCTCAGTGCACCTTAAATGGAAATCTCCTTTCATTTTATTCCCACAACATCCCTGTAAATGATTTGGCTGAGAGGTAGTGAATGGCCCCAAGTCACCTAGTGAGTTTCTGTGGCTGAGGATGAACTTGCATCTGGATGTCTCCTCTTCTAATCCAACTCATTAGTAGATGTAGAAAAGGCAGTTCCTCTTTCTCTCAGCCACACAAGTTCTTCCCTTAGGTATGATTCTTTTGAGTAGATGGGGTTCAGAAAATATTAGCAAAAAGAGATGCAGGAACTTGTTTGGAATTTAATTCCATTTCAAGATTACAGTAAAGCACACATATTTGTTTAGGCAGATAGGGATATATTCATTTCTACATTCTTCTCTTCATTTCATGTCTACTATCTGTATCAGAGATGAGTAGGTGTCAGGCTTGTGGATCAGAAATGAATGAAGCTCACAGTCCTTCCAACAAAATCTATTGTTGGCTATTCCAATATTTCTATACTTCAATCAGGGATCAGGGGAGGAAGAATAAAATAGTTGTTGCTCTTGTTAAATAGCGGGAATGTCTTTTTTTCTGATTACTCGGGATGCTACCAGTAGATCTACCTTTAGCTCACCCTGCTACTTTCTAGCACAAACCTCAGAAAGTATCTGCTTAAGTTAACACACCATCCCCCTCCAAGTGGAATCACTGTTCAAGGAGAAGCTTGGAGGGAAAAATGGTTTGGTTTTTTCTTGCTGGGAAGCTGAATACCAGAGAGCTGTAAAATCCTTATCTGCTCATTTTATCTTGAGTAAGATAAATTCATTTGATGTGTGTGTGTGTATGTATGTGTGTGTCTGAACTGTAATGGGATGAAGAATCAATTTCTGCATTTTCGATCATACTACTTTTATTTGCATTGTTCTTGCAAGACTATGACTTCACTCTGAGTTAATTTAGGCTAGTTATGTGTTTAATGCTATATTTGCTGTGGAGTTACAGGGCTATAGCAATAAAAAACAATTAACCAAAATCTCTGCATTTTTCATTCCAAACTAGCCAAATAGTGAGTTTGTCTATTTATTTAAGAAAGTTAAGAAATTTATATGGCCATTTAAGTCAACCAATGTGACTCTGGGAGGCTTAGAATAACAAAAACTAACACACCAAAAATTTAATTAAAATAAAAAGAGCCCTTATAGGAGATCAGGAACTCACAATTTTTACCCTCCTCCAGACATAGGCTCCCTTTATCTGTATGCTAATGCCTGAGGAAAGAGCCAGCCAGGTTTTAAAGCCTTTCTAAAAGTCAGGAAGTTTGGGGCCAAACATATGTCAGAGGGAAGGTCATTCCAGAGGACAGACCCTGCAACAGAAAGGTCATGTCTCCTAGGTTGCATCAGAGAAGGGACCTGAAGTATGTCTACTCTATTAGAATGAGTTGGATGGGCAAATACCGTTGTGGAGACATAGTCCCATAAATAACCTGGTTCTGTAGCTCTTTATAGGTAATAATCAGCACTGTGAATTATACCCAGAAGCCTATTGGGAGCCAATGCAGCTCACAGAGTAGTGGTGTTACAGGAGCATACCAAAGTATACCCATAACTACCTGTGCTGCTGCATTCTGGACCAATTGTAATTTCTGGATGGTGTTTAAAGGGCAGCCCCATATAGAGTGAATTGCAGTAATCTAGGAGGTGATTGGGTCATGAATGACTGTTAGCAAGGCCTCCCAATCCAGAGAGGGTGTGATAGGCACTGAGTGGGGGAGTGCAACCCCTGCCACCCAGCAAGGATGGAAAATCTCTTGTGATATCAGGGGCACCTAAAACCCACAGCTACTCGGTTTTGCTGGAATTGAGTTGAAGCCTGTTCTTCCCCTGGAAAGGGAAAGAGTTACTTCTCTCAATAGTATAAACTAGAGCAAGTAGTATTAATTAATGGAACACAGCTAATGAGAACAGAGTAAACACATTATGAAGAGGGGAGAAGATATGAAAATTGTCACTAGCAACACTCAATACATCTTTACTTACCATGATATACTGCCCAGAATTTTAGCTGAAAAGAAATAAAATTTAAGTTAAACCCTAAGACTCTTTTCTATAACTAACCATATTATGTTGCAACACCTTTTTGCAGATAAGAAAATCATGTTCCTCAGTCTGATAATAATAGAATGAACAATTATTCACAATCACTTATCCATTCTGTCCAGCACAATAAAAATGTGGACCAAATGTTTCCAATATTTGGCGAAACAATGATGTTATTGTTTTAACATAAACTCAACTGCCAACACAATGGACATTACAAAAATAAAAATTAACTTAGTTGGATGTGATGGTACAACTATATAAATCCTTCAGTTTGGATCAAGTTCTACCAATAACCAACCAAGTCCAGGAGAAACCCAACCAACTAAGCAGTCAAAGTGTTTGTTTTGATGGCAAATATTAGGAATGATAACTTGGTAGTGTGCAATCCAAAACCACCAAAGAGTAGTCCCATCAGCTGCTTGCAGTAGAAAACATCTTGGGTCAGATTTACCAAGCTAGGATATTTCTTTCTGTTCTTTAGATTTCAACTGGTTAATGAAGTTTGACTCTGTTTCCCAATCTTTCAAAATAACTTACAGTTTTTTCCATGGTTTCAAATATTTCACTGGCTTCCTCAAAATCACACTGTTCTTCTACACATTCTCTTTCCAAGGAACCTGCCTTTAATTCTTCCAAGAAAGAATTTGCCCGCTTTTGGATCTTTAGGACACGATTTGCTTCTTGGCTGCTGTAAAACACTTGGGAATGGGGAAAAGTTGCATGGAGCATTTATAGTATCATTTATCTTACAAGTTTCAGAAACATATTTGTATTTATCATCTTATTTTACCTGATAAGGAAAATAATTTTTAAAATGAGAAAAAAACATGCTTTGGAGTAGAATAATTAAGCCAATATAGATTGTAACTGTTGCTCCTAGTGTTACTCTGCAAAATCCACATTATGTTGATGAATGTAAGGTCTTATGCTGCAGCACATATTTCTTCAAAATGAGATAAATTGTGTATTTCTGCATGTGCCTACTTTCACATCAAGGTGATAGTAATATATGCCCTATATCTCTAGTGTGTAACCAGGAATTATTGAAAAAAGGATTGTAGTGTGCAGAATGCAAGTGATATTGTGTTCGTTCAATCATGCTTAGAGACAGTGCAGTGGCTGGCAGGATATAATGTTTATCTGACAAAACTTGATGTTGGAAAGGATGACATACCTGAGGCTTCATATCCACTAAGCAATATGAAGGCAGCTGAAAACACCAGAAGAGGAATGATTCTCCCCATTGCACAACAGATTGCACAACTATGAGAATAACCACCAAAAAAGGATGATTCGTTTTAGAGAAATGCATGCTTTAATTTATTTTCAAAATTATATATTTAAGAAAGCACAGGCTGATACTTGATCCTTACAGTAGGGCATATAAAATCTGCTGTATCGTCTAATATTGCTCTTATGTTTTACACCATATATTCTTGGGAGTAACGTCTTTCCATCCGCCACTTCTATTTCTTTATCTAATTAACTAGTTTGCAACTTTCTGTTTATTTGACAGTACCACATTCAATTTAAGAGGACTTTTTTTCATTCCTGTTCAAAATTTAGTCACTTCACTCATGTGGTTGGATGACCCGAAACAAAACAAAATAAAAATACACAACTGAGAACTAAATTAAATGTATTGTCAATTCTCTTACAAGCTTTTCCTAATTAACTTTTACACCTCTTATCCCTTTTCTTTGCATTTGATTTAGGTAAAAATATTATTCAGGATTTTAAACCAAGTATTTGAACAACAACAAAAGACTTACTGATCTCACTGGCTGAATCACAGTAGTCTACTCTTCCGCCATTGAATGCAGAGGACGCTAGTTAATCCATAACCTCAAATATTGACTCAGGAGCTACCCACTAGCAGCCTTCCTTTCAGTTAAATAGAAACTGCTCCTATGGGATTCTACATGTAGAAAAGAAAATCAGGGATGATTTGCTTTTTAACATGCATTTTCCTTTCTGTTTTTCTTCTCTAATTAAAATAAATGCTAGTTTTCTACAAATTCAACTCTATTTCAGCTTTATTTCTTTACAGAAATAAGCTTAGCCTAAAAACTGGATATTTGAAAAATGAATCAAGATCCTTCATGAAACTTTACAACTTTACACTTGTGATAGTATGAGATATCACTATCTGTCATTTGTTGCCCCTACTTGTGTTCCATTGCTTCTTTAAGATTCCCACCCCCCACCCCCAACAGATATGCTAAGAAAAGAAACAGGATCGTGTACAAGGTCCTTTGACTACCACCTTCTAATTTTATACCTGGGACCCTCCAAAATTCTTAAGATTGCCCACCAAACAATTTCAAGTTGAGGTGGCCACAAGAGAGCACCAGAGAGCTATAGTTGTTTGCTCCTTACACTGATTCCCAGAGTTTTTACAGTGACATCCTGGCTCCACAAAGTAGTCATCTTAACCTAACATCAGATTTGTCTGAACTACAGTTCCCAGAATTTCATCAACTTTCTCTGCAAGAGGTTATTTCTTCCCTCCACATACTTTTTATTAGATTTTAATTCGCATTAGCACTTTTTTTTTACTTTTGTGACTTTAAACAAGTAAGCTACATGATTCAAGCCAATTTGACATTTCTTGTCCTTTACGGTTAGTCCAGTCTCCCTGTGGCCCTAGAATGGAATATCTATTCCATGTGTTCATGGTGCTGCTCCCATGTGGTTAAGAAGATAGACTTATCATCTACGTCTTGTCAAACTCATTTAAACCTGTGGACAACTCATTGACCAATTTTTGGAAAGTTGCAAGAGCAACCCAAAGACCAAATGGGGGCATGTTAAATTCAAACCCATGGTATGAGATGAAGGCTGACTCCTCCTGGTCTCTTTCAACGACAACTGCAAGTACCCTTTGGACAAGTCCAGTATGAAAATATACCCAGCTACCCCATCTATTCCAGCAAGTTATCAATGTAAGACAGTGGAACTAGTCAGGCTCTTCCTTACCCCACCCACCTCCCAAGGCTTGGGACCAAGATGACTGGGGGAGACTCTGAGAAGGTCATACCATGTCTGCATCCCTTCAGTCTTCTTTGTGGCTTTATGTTGCCATGGGGCTGCTGAGTAATGAGTAGTGTCCAAGAGGGAAAAAAATGATGAAAAGGAAGTTGTAAATTCTGTTCAAAAGTTAACAAATGCTAAGGCTGGAGATGTACATAGTGTCATTAGAGAAATGATAAAATATAGGTGTGGCTTGCTTATAGAAGTACAGTTTAATACTGTATGAAGACTGCTTCATAGGGCTGGCTAGGGAATTCTGGAAGTCCACACATCTTAAAGTTGCTGAGGTTGAGAAATACTGATCTAGAAGGCACTAGTTTGGGAAAGGCTACTTAACAGATTTTGTCCTCATTCCTCTTAGCCCTCTGTTGCTTTCAAAATACTTTGCCACATTTGTCTGACCCATATCTCCCTGTTGTCAAGATCTCTTACTCAATATTTCCAGTGGGACAGGGTTGCCATGGCATTTGATTACTGTTAAAGGCTTTCTTAGTGGTTCCATGGTATTCTTTTCTCTCTTCATGGTCTCCAATTAGTGGTGTGGTTGCTGGTATCAGTAATATACCCATGATGCCAAGTTCTCTGTGTTTTTTGTCTCTTTTTCCATCCAGTACTTGTCTGGTAATTCACCCCTATTATTGCTATTACTGCCTCGTAAGCAATATATCCAAAGTGTCCATCCTTCCTTTCAAACATTCCTTTTTTCAAGAATTCTTGCCCCTCCCTGGCTGAGTAGAACCACTTACATGAGTAATTCAGAAAGCCCTGGCCTTAATTTGAATAACAGCCCACCCAATCAGATTTGGTGCATAGTGTTGTGATGTTGCCATCTCTTACTGTGATGCAATTATTTTAATTAATAATTCCAGCCTGAGATCATGTAAAGGTAAGAAAACAATGGTTCTGTGGTTATGAAAAGCAAATGGTAGCCAGCAGTATAAGAAAATTATAAGGAGACTTGGGAAAAGAATTACAGTATTTACAAATTACTGTTGCAGGTCACTTTCTGGTTTGTAATGTATAATACAGGTAGTCCTGAGTTTAAGAACGAGTTCTGTTCCCAAGGTCTGTCCTTAAGTTGAATCTGTACGTAAAACGGAACAGTATTATTGTATAACACTGTATAAGTAGTATTGTGTAATGAATTCAAACCATTCTATATTTAACTTGAATCACTGTGTATTTAACTCAGATTTTGCTACAACAGAATCTGTTCCTAACTATGGGTCTGTAACTCTGGCATTCTTAACCTGGGGACTCCCTGTACAGTGGTAATGAGTGTGCCATTGGAGGACCTCAAGGACAAGGTTAGATATAGGCCATCATGGAGAAAATCCATTGATGTGCTTGACTGATTAGGTGCCATCAAGGCAGTAAGTCAAAATCTTTAATAACAAAATATTTCTGTAAATACAACTCTTACTGTAAATGCTGAGGCAGAAAGGCAGTTGATAGTTGTGATTCTATTTTAATAGCTCATTTGGCTAGATCTTGCCCCACATGTCCTTAAAATTATCTGAATAGATGATGATTCATGTTTTTATGACAAGAGGCCAAGGAGAGTAAGCTAGCCTAACTTTTATTCAGTCTAAGCTAGAACTAAATGAAGATGCAGACAAGAGATTGTGGTGTCTGCATAAGGCTACTCTTTTCTAGCAGTGTGTTGGGGCAGGAATCCAGTAGACAATGCTGTAAATCACCCAAATACATATTACAAAAATGCCTATCAACAAGTATAGCCTTCCAGAGAAATTGAACACTGAGTAAGTCCTGTTTTCACTGCTTATGAGATGCACATTTACCACCAGGATTTTCCCAGAAATATCCTTTTTGTTTTAAACACAGAAATAAGGAGAATATTTGATGCAATCCACTGAAATAAAATCAACAGGCTTTCTTTTCAGAATCAAGAATCTACAATCCAATGCCTTAGACTGTCTTTTCTGGCTGGAATGAAAGCCTTAGTTATGTGAGGGACCAGGATCCCTTGCTAGATTATATCACTGATCCTTAACCAATGAACAATTTGTGTCAGCCATTATATGATGAAAGGACAAACTCAAATGAACATTAAAGTGTAGTACGTTGGCTTACCCAGGTGAAAATATCAGAATCCTGAAAGCAGATGACATTATTAGATACCCTGGGCCCCAGGAACCATGTCCTGTTAAGTCTCTCAGGAAGTTCAAAAATATGAACTGGAATTCATGAAACAACAACTAATGATCATAAGCTCAGCACTTTGGGCTATTTTCTCTTTTTCCAGATATATTATGAAATCAAGAATGTGATTGTGCTAGTCTAAATGATGCAGTGATGGGTACCTTGCAACATTCAGACATCCAAGTTTGATTATGTGACTACTTTCCCACTATGAGCTAGAAAGTAGCATCATTGTAAGAATAGGAGCTTTTTTATTAGTTTATTTCCCACATAATAGACCAAATGGTTTGGTTTTGGCTCAAGTTGCATAAATCCAAACATGCTAAGCCACAGTTTGTTAAATTATGGCTTAGCATGTAATAATAACCCATAAAGTGGTGGTTTCTGTTTAGATTATATATCATACTACACTCAAAATGAACAAATTACATTATGTATGATTCAGTCCGTAGCAGAACTAAAAAAAAAAAAGAAGCTGAATAGCTACAGCAGGTGAACATGAATCTCAATGCAGATAAGTATTTGGGGAGGTATACCTCACAAGTCTTGATGTTATCAACAATGTATCTTAATTATTTTTAGTCACAAGCATGGAGAGAAGCCAGGTTTTATTCATCAGGCACTTGGAGTTGGAGACTTAGAAAAACCACTTGTGATGATCTCATATACTGTATTATAAGGATTAAGGATGGGAATACAACATTGTAGTACAGCTTTTTTCTCTCTCTGAGCTTTTAGAGTGGAGAACATTCAATAAGGCTCTTTTGTATCTCTAAACAAAGTATGGTTGCTAGGATGGCTGGGAGTGTGTAATCCAAAATCCAAGATGTGATACTCTAAAGTATCCAATTCAGGATTTCTTGAAATATTTTTCCTCTTCTAATTTGAAATGTGGAATCTGAAAAAGAAGAGTAAAAGACCACTTTCTCCATTGGAAAAAAAGTACTGAGAACTGCTGCTTAAGAAAATGTGTGAAAAGCTGCAACTTCGTCAGACACAGAAAATCATGCCACTGATCTGAATTAAAATCCCGATTTTAACAGTGAAATTCGCCATAACTTGGCTATGAACAACAATGAACATGATTAGCTATATTGACATTTTTTCCCCCTAATAAACTACCCCTTGACTGTGGATACAAAAATTGAATATGGATCTTTACTATTATCCTTAAGACCAAACATACACTTTGTTTATTTTAGTTTGTTTTTTGTTCTATTTTTTAAATACTCTGTGCATTCTTTATCTCAAGTATAAAGCAAATTACATTTACCAACTTTAAGCTACTCTACTTTATGTGGCATTTTAAGGATAAACATGCCTTGAACTTCTTAAATGGAAACAGATACATATCTAATGAAATGCTTCCAAGTTCTTTGTTTATAATTATGCATGTCATTAAATACAATTATTAAGCTTTAATGGTTTCAGGCAGTTATTTTTTTTTTCTCTCCAGTCCTGCCACTCCCCATAAATCGGTGGGCATTATACACACCATTTATTTTGAATTGTACCGTTAGGATTCTTGTATAGTTCTTATAGGACTCTTAATTCATTTGCATTTCTCTCATACTGGCAAAGCACATTAAATACTGTTTCTCTGATGACTATAGCAACAAATCAATTCTTTACAGCAAGATCAGAAACAGATTTTCTTTAT